AAAAATGACAATATTAAAAAGCCCACTTTTAACAGTTTTGTAGAAAAAATAGTGTATGATATACGTGTTAAAAGTGATTTTATTTTGTGAGTGAAGATGATTAAGAAACGAGCGTAGCGAGTTTTTTAACTTCACGAATTTTTGCTTCCTTACTTTTAACACGTATATTATAAATAGCTATTTTTCAATTTTTTGCGTTTTTTTTCTCGGTCCACGGGCTTGGAAAAATTTTTTACACAAAAATCATGACATGGACTTGATAGCCTGTTCATTCAGCTTTAATTTCTTTTTTTAAATTTTTCTCTACGTTAATTTGACCCGGAAATATTCGACTACGAATACAAAAGCATCCTTTTGGCTTTAACCATCGATATCTCAGCAACTAATGATCAGACAGAAAATTGACGGGCAGTTTCGAAATTTCGAATAAAATTCCTATAAGACTATGTAGCGTTCTTGGAAGAAAAAAATTTTCTTTCATCCTTTGTTTTGCTAAGTCGACCGCATCTTTGCTAATATCGATGGAGAGTCTAATGCTTGTAGGAATTTTTACACTTCGATGTACCCCCAAAAGCTCCGTAAATGGGCAGATTGATCTATCGAACGGTTTTTCCGTTTTTTTCAATTCTTTCACAATTGGGCATTTTTTGCTCATTGAATTTGAAAAAAAAATTAATTTAAAAAAAAAAATTTAATTTTTGAAAATTTTATGAAAATTTACTCTTCTTTATTTTTTAACAACTCAAGATTTTTATATTGAGTCATTTTTGAAGCGATGTACTCTCCGTTACCGTAATTTCCTTTATTTTGAATTTACGAAATTGATTAAAAGTTGATACCCCCAAGATTGGTGTAGTCCTCGATCTGCGAAAAAATAGTGCGTATTATCCTAAACNAGATTTCTTAGCTCAAAATTTTTAGGAGCGACAGTCATCGTGAAATTCTAAGAAATAAGACTAAAAAAATGTTTTTCTACAAAACTGTTAAAAGTGGGCTTTTTAATTGTCATTTTTAACATAAAAAATGACAATATTAAAAAGCCCACTTTTAACAGTTTTGTAGAAAAAATAGTGTATGATATACGTGTTAAAAGTGATTTTATTTTGTGAGTGAAGATGATGATGATGAAGGCTATGTAGCGTTCTTGGAAGAAAAAATTTTTTTTCATCCTTTGTTTTGCTAAGTCGACCGCATCTTTGCTAATATCGATGGAGAGTCTAATGCTTGTACGAATTTTTACACCTCGATGTACCCCCAAAAGCTCCGTAAATGGGCAGATTGATCTATCGAACGGTTTTTCCGTTTTTTTCAATTCTTTCACAATTGGGCATTTTTTGCTCATTGAATTTGAAAAAAAAATTAATTTAAAAAAAAAAATTTAATTTTTGAAAATTTTATGAAAATTTACTCTTCTTTATTTTTTAACAACTCAAGATTAAAATATTGAGTCATTTTTGAAGCGATGTACTCTTTCCGTACCGTAATTTCCTTTATTTTGAATTAACGAAATTGATTAAAAGTTGATACCCCCAAGATTGGTGTAGTCCTCGATCTGCGAAAAAATAGTGAGTATTATCCTAAACTTTCTTACCAAGCTAACAGGTGTGAAAAAAAACAGTTTTTTTTTAAACTCTAACTTTGATTGCAAGGAACCAACCAAAACTAACAATATTTTTTGTAATTCTAGTGCAAAAAATTAATCAAAAGTTTTTGTAGACCTTAATTTTTTTAATTTTTGTCATGCCTAGACGGCATTTATCATTTTTATTTTATTTATCAACTTTTAATCAATTTCGTTAATTCAAAATAAAGGAAATTACGGTACGGAAAGAGTACATCGCTTCAAAAATGACTCAATATTTTTATCTTGAGTTGTTAAAAAATAAAGAAGAGTAAATTTTCAAAAAATTT